CCACAGGTGCCGGCGCTGTGGGTACCGGGGCTGTAGGTGCCGGGGCCATAGGTACCGGCGCCATAGGTACCGGCGCCATAGGTACAGTTATAGGTACCGGCGCCGTAGGTACCGGCGCCATAGGTACCGGCGCCATAGGTACAGTTATAGGTACCGGCGCCGTAGGTACCGGCGCCATAGGTACCGGCGCCATAGGTACCGGGGCCGTAGGTACCGGGGCTGTAGGTACAGCTATAGGTACTGGGGCTATAGGTACGGCCATAGGTGCCGGTGCCATAGGTACCGGGGCTATAGGTACTGGGGCTATAGGTATGGCTATAGGTATGGCTATAGGTACAGGGGCTATAGGTACAGGGGCTATAGTTACAGCTATAAGTACGGCTATAGGTATGGGTATATGTACAGGGGGTATAGGTACAGCTATAGGTACAGGGGCTATAGGTACAGGGGCTATAGGTATGTCTATAGGTACAGGGGCTAAAGGTATGGGTAGAGGTACAGGAGCTATAGGTATGGTTATAGGTACAGGGGCTGTAGGTACGGCTATAGGTACAGGGACTATAGGTATGGCTATAGGTATGGCTGTAGGTACAGGGGCTATAGGTACAGGGGCTGTAGGTATGACTACAGGTACGGCTATAGGTATAGGTATGGCTATAGGTACAGGAGCTATAGGTACAGGAGCTATAGGTATGGCAATAGGTATGGCCGCTATAGGTACAGCGGCTATGGGTATGGCTATAGGTACCGGCCATGGGTACTGGCTATGGGTGCATCTATACGTACTGGCCATGGATGCCAGCTATGGGGCCTGCCTGTGGGTACATCTATAGGCACCGGCCGTGTGTATGGCTATAGGCGCTAGCTATGGGTAACAGCTATGGGTATGGCTATAGGTAACAGCTATAGGTAACGGCTATGGGTGCCAGCTATGAGTACCGCTATGGGTACGGCCATAGGTAGGGCTATGGGTACCAGCTATGGGTGCTGGCTATAGGTACTGGCTATGAGTATGGCTATAGGCACCGGCTATGGGTAACAGCTATGGGTACATCTATAGGTACTGGCTATGGGTATGGCTATAGGCACTGGCTATAGGTACCGGCTCTGAATACCGTCTATAAGTACTGCTCTGTGTATGGCCATAGGTAACAGCTATAGGTAATGGCTGTGGGTACTGCTATAGGTATATACGTAGCTACGGCTATAGGTACCACCACAGGTACATCCGTGGGTACAGCTATAGGTGCTGTTACAGGTCCCGCTACGGGTACAGCTGTAGTTACGGCTATAGGTACCAGCACAGGTACATCTATAGGTGCAGCTACCGCCACAGCTACGTCTATAGGTACCGCTACAAGCGCTGCTGTAGGAGCGGCTATAGGCACCTCCACAGGCCCGGCCATAGGCGCGGCTGTCGCTCCGTCCCGCTGTAGGCCCCGCTATAGGCCCCGCTATA